TATACATATATATATATATATATATATATATATATATATATAGAACATGTACGTCTGTCAGCGAGCACTACCTTAAAGGAGTTTGTCCTCTTGTTGCTTACCCCTTGAATCCGTGCCTCTGCATGACGCCTTCGAATCCCTTCTTCTTGGGGCGGCCTTTGATGGTGACGCGGGCCGCACCCACCAGAGCGGAGGCATCAATAATCTGCCCCAGGACGTAGTCTGCTGCAGGCTGTGCGTACACTGCAGCCATTGTGCTGCTGCCGCAGCTGCCACTGCTGCGCGCCCCTGCCGTGCTCGTGGCGCTCCCGCTGCTCCCGACACGCTGCAGTACCCCCAGAACAGACCGCCGCAGAAAACGGTGGTTGTGTAGGGGGTCCTCTGAGCAGCAGCAGCAGCACAGCAACAGCAGAAGCACATAAGTACAGGTGTCTGAATGAAGCATCAGCGCCTGTGGAGCTTCGCGCGCCATCAAAGGCCTCGACGACAGAAGCCCAGATACAGTTTAGAGACACCCAAATTCAGCTTGAGAAACCCTGCACCCGCTGCAGCTGCTGCAGCATGCAGCATGCTGCAGCACTCTGCGCCCCCGCAGGCAGCTTGCCGGGCTCTAGACCCTAAACCCCAGGCCCTAAAGCCTACACCCTATGTCCCAAACCGCCTGCCTCACCAAATGCGACGAGGGCTTTTCCGTATTCTAGGAACTGCACGATAGTGGCCGGGATGACCTGCAGCAAAGTGGCGGCCTCAGTAGTGCCGTCAGAGGCGAAGAGAGAAGTCATACCCACTTTCAGCGCCAACACCTCCACCTGTAAGGACACCCCAACAACACAGGCTGCAGCTACACCCGAAAAGCCCAACCCTAAGCAAGCCTTCACAAGCGCGGTTCACTAAAGACCCACAGGCACAATCGTAAGAAGAAAGCAATGCATAGGAGCAACAACTCAGGTACCAGCAACAGTAGCACCAGCACCCGCAGAAGCTGCAGCAACAGAAGAAAATTTTACCTTGGGTTTCATGTCCTTCCACGCCACCTCCTCCACATCTGGTCTTGGCTCCTCCGGGTCCCGCAGATTCAAAAACTGCAGCAGA